CCATGTATATGTACATTGTAATCCGCCCTGTGTCCCCTGTGGGATGAGAAGGGTGGAATATAAATACTGTAAATAAATAATAATAATAAATAACATGGCCATATAGCCCGAAAAACCTACAACAACCCAGTAATTCCAGTCATGAAAGCCTCTGACAATACAATTTTATGCATGCTTATACAGAGACTGGCAATTTAATATAGGTATAATAGCCACTGTAACATGAGAGCTTTTTTATTTTTTATTTTTTTTATTTTTGAAGTACAAGCTAGAAGGTGGTGTGTTATGGTTTATGTATCGTTTTTGTTCGACTTTGTTCAACTCCTTAGTAGTAAGATAAGTCAAACCACAACAATATACGGGGTAGTGAAAAGAATACTTTTCTAATCTTCTCATCATATCAGACCATGTCTAGGAACTCTGCACTTCCAAATATATTTGGCCCTAACATGCATGAGCCAATGCCAACAGAGCCATCGACATGGGCTTATCAGAGCGGCAATCCCATATTTCCTAGTCCTGTTCACCCCTATGTAGACCATGACTTAAGAAGAAAACACTACTCACCCTTGGACCAAAAGGTCCTTGCTCCCCAGGTATTCCAGGTTCTCCCTGTAATATGGAGATCATGGAATTAGTGAAATAATAGTCTTTTTTCCTGTCCACATGACCTGGCATATTTATGTTGAACAAGAGTTCACATGAAACACACAGTGAATTTGATAACCAAGGCCAGGCGCCTATGCTACATAATGTTTACAGTTTTCACGTGAAAGTTGAATCATTTTTTTAAAAAAACTTTTATTTATTGTAGTTTTAACATATTCAATGTTTAAACATTCTTATACTTATCACTTCCCCTTAACAAATTGTACAGAACATGTATATCTTAATTCCTATAATATTTCATCCTCCCGCTTCATTGTATATTGTCCCTTCACCCCAGACCAGCCAATTACAATACTTATTTCCAAAAATCAGTTGTTTCTATTACAGGTTTGTTCCCCTTACCTTCTAAATATACATATTCTGGCCAGGGTGGTTCATGCCTTAGTCACCTCCAGATTGAATTACTGTAATGCACTCTACGTGGGGCTACCTTTGAAAACGGCCCGGAAATTTCAATTGGTCCAATGAGTGGCGGCTAGGTTGTTAACTAGTGCTCCTTACAGGGAGAGGTCAACTCTCCTGTTTAAGGAGCTCCATTGGTTGCCGTTCATTTTCCGGTCCCAATTCAAGGTGCAGGTGCTTACCTACAAAGCCCTAAAGGGTTTGGGACCAGCCTACCTGCGTGACCACATCTCTGTGTACGAACCCACATGATCTCTTTGTTCATTTGGAGAGGCCCTACTTATGCTGCATCGCAAGCGCGATTGGTGGGGACGAGGGACAGGGCCTTCTCGGTGGTGGCCCCTCGACTCTGGAACTCGCTCCCCAAGGACATTAGGCATGCCCCAACTCTGGCAGTCTTTAAGAGGAGCCTGAAAACATGGTTGTTCCAGTGTGCCTTCCCAGAATAAGGAAACCCTAAGCAACATGTCCCTAATCGCACTTTACTAATGATCTAGGATTGTCTGCTCGCTCCATCTCTCTCCAAATACCTATCCTAGTTATATGTCACCTTGTCATGCCCAGCATTTTAAAATTTTAATTATTACATTTGGCCCTGCCATAGGTTTTTAATGCGTTGTGGTGTTATCGTTACTGTTTATTGCTTTGTTTATGAGTCTATGTATTGTCTGTATTGCTGTTGTTGCTGTTTTTAACTGATGCATTTGGGCTTGGCCTCACAATAAAGAATGAATAAATCCTCACAATAAAGAATGAATAAATAATTTAGATTGAGATCCCACAAGGGGCACCCCCATCTTGAGCCTGTAACAGCTGTACTTTGCTATAGGACGTATACTTTAAGCCCAGCGGGAAGCCAAAGAGAGGTTCTCAGGAATTTTTCTGAAGTGATGGTCTTTAGAGTCTTTAATGGTACAACAAAGTCTTTATTATGGAACAAACAACAAATCTTCGATGGTTCAAACAACACTTCAAAGCTTTCTTAGTGTAGTCCTCAATGGGCTGGTACCTAACTTTGATTAACTGAACTTTCTCTGTAGGAAAAACCCTTTTTAACCTCTCCCAGGCTGTTTACTATCCATGCCTCATCAGTGTGGGTCCTACTACCAATTCCAAATGCGTCTGGGTATCAACTAGATCTACCAGCTGAGGCTTGAAGATATTTCAGCTGGAGTTCCGTGGATCTGTAATGCTGTCCCCCCTCAGAGAATTCTTTGAGAACTTCAGGGCTGTTTTCCCTCTGATTGCTGTGAGGCTGAGAGGCTGTGAGCTCTCAGCCAGAGCCTTGGGACCTTTTCCCTGGAATTTCTGTTTCTGTTTCCTCGGATAGTCTTGAGAAAAGAAGTTTTTCTACGGGACAAGCTGGTCTACGTCCTATAGCTTAGCTTCCCTATGTGAGACTGCCCAAAAAATGGCTCCTTTCCCTCCCAGAGCCCTGAACAAGGGGTGGAACCAAAGCTTAATTATGATGGATAGGAGGCCTGCCCTATGATTGCAAACAGATAACAGAAAGAAAATAAAGTTGCACAATACAGGCCAGTTATATACCTTGAAAACCAGCTGTATACTAACTGACAAGCAACAGAGTTGTATTTTACTTTGCTGGAAGAAGGCAACATCATCAGTATTTCAGAAAATTATTTCTACATAGATACAGAGCCACATAAGTTTCACTGTTCATTTTTTTCTTTCCAGCTGGGAGGCTCCCAACCTTTGAGTATCTCATTTTTTAATAGGGAAGAAATAACCAAGAACATTATTTCCAAAGCAGAAAAGAGTACTCACCTTTGGTCCAGGAGGTCCAGGTAGCCCTGGTGGTCCAGGTTCTCCTTTACCTCCCCCAAGTGCATTGCTAGAATCTCCTTTTTCTCCCTAAATATACAAAAATATTATACATTTTTGGATTTCTTGGAATCATAGATACTCTGGGTGCTAGACAGGTGGAAAAAGAAGGTATCAGCAGGCCTAGGGAACCTCTTGCAAAAGTACAAAATACCTGTACAATAAGTATGTGTTCGTTTGTGTGTATGGAAAGGAAAAAATTCTATTAGTGATGATGAATATCCTCAATGAGCACAAGTGGATTGCTGACTTAACGGTTGAAAGGTGATGGGCCAAAATGACAAGGGGATGAATGTAATGGAGATGTCTGAGAGTCTATGCCTGAATGGCTGGAATACAAACAAGATCACTTTGTGCTTCAAGCATTTGTTACAGTTCTCTTTTGTTTCTTTAGAAATCTAAAGAGACATATAAACCTGTAACAGAAAAACCAAAAACTAGGTTTGACACCTAGGAGATTTTGAAGCTGGGTTGTTGTAGGTTTTTTCGGGCTATATGGCCATGGTCTAGAGGCATTCTCTCCTGATATTTCGCCTGCATCTATGGCAAGCATCCTCAGAGGTAGTGAGGTCTGTTGGAACTAGGAAAAAGGGTTTATATATCTGTGGAATGACCAGGGTGAGACAAAGGACTCTTGTCTGCTGGAGCTAGGTGTGAATGTTTTAACTGACCACCTTGATTAGCATACAATGGGCTGACTCTGAGGATGCTTGCCATAGATATAGGCGAAACATCAGAAGAGAATGCCTCTAGACCATGGCTATATAGTCCAAAAAAACCTACAACAACGCAGTGATTCCGGCCATGAAAGCCTTCGACAATACATCAATTTTGAAGCTGTTTGTCTTTAAGATGCCACATGTCCTTACAAATGGAACACAGGTACATTTTACTTCCTGTTTGTGCCAAAGGCCTCTATCTTGGATGGGGTTACACTCCCTGTGAAAAACTGTGTTCACAGCTTGGGGGGTGCTCCTGGACCCATGTCTCCAAATGTCAGCCGAGGTAGATGCAACAGTCAGGGGTGCTTACTATCAGCTTCGGCTGTGCCCATTTCTAGATTTGACTTGCATGACAAACAAAGAGTTGGATGTCCTGTGACAGCAACCACCGAGTTTCACAAGCAAAAGGTTGACAGATTGATTCAGGATGATCGTCGTATCACTCAGAGAGAAATTTCAAGAATAATCGGCATTTCACAAGAATGTTGAGGCATTACTTTTCATTCAACCCTTGTACAAGATATGATGGCTGCTAGGGCAAAAGTTTTACATTGTGTCTCTAGTTTACACATATGCTTTACGTTACATGAAAATGAATACTCATTTAAAGCAGAAAATATTATGAACCACCTTTAGCAAAAGGTCCCAGGGTAGCATACAGGTTGAAGAACCACACAATTTTAAAACCAACACTAAAACATAGGAACTGCAGCATTCATTTAATAAATCATGCTGAACCATAAAACTGCAATTAAGATGAAGTATTCTACGTGCTAAAATAAATATGCCTCTGAAATCAAAAAAGATGCCAGAAGGGGTACTAGGGATGTTTCCCTTGTAAGGACATTCTCAGTATGAGGTATCATAACCAAGCAAGATTTTTCACCAGTTACTATGCACTTAACATCAGATACACTAGTATCTGGAGGAGGACATGGGATTCTCAAGATGCCAACTTCTGTATCATTTAAATGTATTTCACATTTCCATGGCACAAATACATACCAATGACGAAATGTACATGGGCATGCCAAAAATATAAGTGAGACTTGTGTTATCAAAGGTTATTTTCATAACAACAACAACAACAACAACTGATTTATATTCCGCTCTATCTCCCCAGAGGGACTCAGGGCGGATTCCAAACATAAAAGGCAAACATTCAATGCCCGAATACAACAATACATCCATACTAACAAAATTTATACAACCGAACATGAGGGGTATTTTTTAAGTAAGGTCCGTTTTGTTGTAGACACTAGTAGTTCGCGCGCATACCGCAACGAGCGCATGCGTCGTGTACCGGCATGCCTCGGGAACAACTGTGCTCAGTTTCCGCTCTGTAGCTAACCTGTACGGTTCTGTTCTGTGCTTTAAAAATGTTTAAGACTATCAACTCACCCTCCGCATGTGAGGTTCGCTCAGTGATACGGTTTTTGTCAGCAAGGAACCTGCCTGCTGCAGAAATTCATCAACAGATTTGTGAAGCGTACGGTGATACTGTTATGAGTGAAAGCAAAGTGCGTAAGTGGGTACGACAATTCAAAGATGGCCGTGACAACGTCCATGATGAGGACTGCTCCGGTCGCCCTTCTTTGATTACAGACGATTTGGTGGCTTTTGGTGGCGCAGCAAGTTTTTATGAAGAGGGTATTTTAAAATTGGTTCAGAGGTATGATAAGTGTTTGAACAAACTTGGCAACTATGTTGAAAAATAGAGTGAAGTATGTATTTTCTGAAAATAATTTTTTTGAAATAAATTTTTTGAAATAAACTTTCGTTGTGTACTTATGTTCAAACGGACCTTACTTAAAAAATACCCCTCGTATAAATACAAATTATAATTTAACAAACTAAAATTAAATAAAAAGCACAACCTGTTATAACAGACATAAGACAAAACATCAAACATCAAATGGAAACAATAATTTCCCATTTCTTTGGGGCAAATCGATTAATCATTGCTCAAGATATCTTTTGAGCTGGTGGGGTGAGCAGAACACGGATACGGATGGCAACTATTAATCAGAGGTATAATGGTAGTATTACCAATTACTATTCCTCCTCCTCATAATCCAATGAGCAAAGGTATGTCTTCAGCTATTTTTTTGAAAGTGGGGATAAAGGAGGCTTCAAGGGTCTTTGAGTGAAATTAAGCAAGAGGCCATGAAAAAAATGTTTTCTTTTGTTACCCTTTCTCTATAAAAAGAGAGCAATACAGAAGAAAATATTTTTAAGAAACAAGAAGGTACTTTCTTACACAGGATGTTGTATTGTGGTTAACTTCAAAGGTTGTTGATTTAAGTGCAGAGTCTGCATGTAGAAGAAGGTACTTTCCATCAAAAGGTCAAGGAAGAGGGGGCTGGAAAAAGAGTACTTTCCATGACCTATTACTTGAGTATAAATGTCAGCAGAAACATAGGAGGGGGCGGGCAGTCTTTGAAAGCACAAACAGAAGTGCTTCTATCCGTCTCATGTTGATTAGCTTGATTAAATGGTGTCTTACATGAACCAATTAGACTCTGTGGATTTCTTCGAAAAGGGACCCCGCTCTCTAAACCCGTGATCCCTTACAGGGAGGGAGGGGGCCATCTTTAACTCCTTAGGAAGGGAGTTCCAGAGCTGAGGGGCAGCCATGGAGAAGGCCCTTTCTCTCGTTCCCACCAGTCATGCTTGGGACGTGGGTGGAACTGAGAGGAGGACCTCCTCCAATGACCGCAGTATCCAAATTGGCCTATAGAGGGAGATGTGGTTTGCCAGATAGTCTGGATCGAAGCCATTTGATCTCCAGAAGGGACATTTAAACTGGCCTGAAGTGCTAAGTTTTCCAGTTAGAAGAACTGTCAACTATTTGCATGGATTTTGCCATTTTCAAGCAACAACCGCAGTTGCATAATTAAAAATAAACAATTATGTATTTACTCAGAAATAGCCCAACATCCTTCTGCACCCTATGGCTAACCCACCATACCTATCATTTCAAGGGTAAAGACAGATGTGAAAAAAACACTCCTTTTGCCAATATTTTATAAACACTGAACAGTGCTAATTATAAAAATCACACAGCACACGTGTAAATATAGTAACGAAAGCATTCTTTCCCAAACATGAAAATGCAGCTCAAAGCAATCTCATCGGGGATGGGGTTGTTGGACAGGGAAATGCAGATCAACAAAGCAAGCCCACACATTTGATCATGTCCTACCCTCTGCCCCCTTTTCCCTGGCAAACCTGGGGGCCCTGTCTTTCCAGCAACTCCGTGTTCTCCCTTTTGCCCCCAGAAAGGAAAGAGAGACAGGGCATCATGTTTATTTCATATGACTGGTACTTTTTAAGCAAAGTATCACCAAAATCTGAAGCATGGCTCCCAGTGTAGAAAATACTCACTTCCACAATAGTAGACACCTACCACCTACCAATAGTAGACACCTACACTAATATATAAGTCAACCTTATATATAAGGGCAAGTTTCGGGGACAAAATTCTAGATTTTGATATGATCCATCCCAGTAACTACAACTCCCAAATGTCAAAGTCTATTTTTCCCAAACTCCATCTGTGTTCATATTTGGGCATATTGAGTATTCATACCAAGTTTGGTCCAGATCCATCATTGTTTGAGTCCACAGTGCTCTCTGGATGTAGGTGAACTACATCTCTCAAACTCAAGGTCAATGCCCACCAAACCCTTCTAGTGTTTCTATTGATCACAGGAGTCCTGTGTGCCACGTTTGGTTCAATGCCATAATTGGTGGAGTTCAGAATGCTCTTTGATTGTAGGTGAACTATAAATCCCAGCAACTACAACTCCCAAATGACAAAATCAAAATTTTTTGAGTGAAGGACATACATTGGGTTGTTAGGTGTATGCTGTCCAAATTTGGTGTCAATTGGCCCACTGGTTTTTGAGTTCTGTTAATCCCACAAATGAACATTACATTTTTATTTATATAGACTAGCTGTACCCGCCATGCATTGTTGTGGCCAACCTTCCTACCGCTTTCTCTCCTTCCTTCCCTCTTTCTTCTTTTCCTCTTTTTCTTTCCCTATCTCTCTTCTTTCTTCCATCTCTATCTGTTTCTTTCCTCCCTTTCTTTGCCTTTTGGTTACATACTTCCTTCCCTCCCTATCTTTTGTTCCTTCTCTCCTTCCTTCCCTCTCTTTTTCCTTTCACTTTTTTATTTCCTTCTCTCCTTCCTTGCTTCTCTATCTTTCTTTCTTTCCTTCTTTCCCTCCCTGCTTCTCTCCTTCCTTCCTTCCCTCTTTCCCTCCTTCTCTCGTTACTTCTTGACTGTCCCTTCCATTTAATATTGTATTTATATCTTACATAGAAAGAAGGAAAGGAAGAAGGAAGGAAGGAGGGACGAAGGAAGGAAGGAAAAAGGAAGGGAGGGAGGGAAAGAAGGGAAGGAAGGAAAAGAAAGAAGGAGGGACAGGAAGGAGGGAGGAAAGAGGAAGGAAGGAGGGAAAGAAAGGAGGGGGATGAAGAAAGGAGGGAAGGAAATGAAGGGGAAGGAAATGAAGAAAGGGAACAAAGAAGGAAAGGGAGGGAGGGAGGAAAAGAAGGAAAGGAAGGAGAGACAGGAAGGAAGGGAAGGAGGGAAAGAAGGAAAGGAAGGAGAAGGAAAGAAGGAAAGGAAAGGGAGGAAAGAAGGGAAGAGAGGGAGAGAAGGAAGGTCCTTCATTCAAGCACCGTGGACCTTCCTCGCCTCCTCCTCCTGCCCCTCCCTCTCCCCTTCTTCCTTGCTCTGTTGCTGCTGCTGGCACTCATCCACCCTTTCCTCTAGGAACAGGAAGACTGCCCTCCTGACATAGGAGGGGAAGAAGAGGGGCTGCATGCGGCAAGCCTCCACCTCCACTCCACCCGCTTGTGTGTGTGTGTGGCCGTGCACATGTGCCTGGCTTTAACGGCCGGCTGTTTCCCCACGAGGAGGAGGAGGGGCCGTGGCCATGGGTCTCTGTAGACATGGAGTTTCCCCTTTGTGGACATGCAGTTTAGAAGTACTTTCTGCTTTTTGTTTTCGTTGTTTTTTTGAGTGGAGAACATACATTGGGTTTTTAGGGACATAGTGTCCAAATTTGGTGTCAATTGCCCCAGTGGTTTCTGAGTTCTGTGAATAGCAAACGAACATTATATTTTTATTTATATAAGATGGAAATGAAAATGCAATTTCCACTTCCAGTTAAGTAGGAAGAAAACAGTATCTCGGCAATGTTAAAGGATCCTAGTGCACAAGCAACAAAAGTCTAAATTATGAGTAATGTCATAAAATATAGTTAGAAGAAGGGTTTCCCTATCTACCTCTTTTCCACCCATTGGACACAACCAATGAAGAAGGGAACATGGAGGACAGCGTGTGTAAACAAAGCCAATGTGTTCTGAACATTCAACATTCAAGTTGTTTACCTACTGATCATAACACAACTATCTTTTGAAAAGTAAACACACAAAGCAGATTTCAGGCAAGCACATGCTTAACTGCAAGTACCTTTGCTCCTGGGATCCCTATTTCACCCTGGATTCGGAAAAGCAGAACAAAAGGGGGGGGGGCACAGAAAAGAAAAGACAAGAGGTTGACTCTTTTGCTACTAATGTTAGCAGACAGAGGAGTTGGTCATTCTTTACAAAAAGACTTCATGCTACTTTAACTTTGTTTGAATATATATTTAAATCTGGGTTGTTGTAGGTTTTTTCGGGCTATATGACCATGGTCTAGAGGCATTCTCTCCTGACGTTTCGCCTGCATCTATGGCAAGCATCCTCAGAGGTAGTGAGGTCTGTTGGAACTAGGAAAAAGGGTTTCTATGTGGAATGACCAGGGTGAGACAAAGGGCTCTTGTCTGCTGGAGCTAGGTGTGACTGTTTCAACTGACCACCTTGATTAGCATATAATGGCCTGACAGTGCCTAGAGCAAACTTTTGTTGAGAGGTGATTAGGTGTCCTTGTTTGTTTCCTCTCTGTTGTTGTGCTGTTGTGGTCCAGCATTTCTGTGTTCTCAAATAAAATGCTGTGTCCAGGTTGGTTCATCAGGTACTCTGCTATGGCTGATTTCTCTGGTTGAAGTAGTCTGCAGTACCTTTCATGTTCCTTGATTCATGTTTGGGCAATACATGGTAGACTCCTGCAGAAGCGAGAGGATCCCTCTTGTCCTTTGCTGAACGTAACATTTGTTGGATTTTCTGCAGGATTTTCTGCAGGATTTCCTGCACTTCTGCAGGAATCTACCATGTACCATGCAGCTGTGGACAAATCTACACAGGGACCACCAAACGCAGCATTGCCCAAACATGGATCAAGGAACATGAAAGGCTGGAGCTAGGTGTGAATGTTTTAACTGACCACCTTGATTAGCATATAATGGCCTGACATTGCCTAGAGCAAACTTTTCTTGAGAGGTGATTAGGTGTCCTTGTTTGTTTCCTCTCTGTTGTTGTGCTGCTGTAATTTTAGAGTTTTTTAATACTGGTAGCCCGATTTTGTTCATTTTCATAGTTTCCTCCGTTGACATTGTCCACATGCCTGTGTATTTAAATGGCTTCTCTGTGTAGTCTGACATGGTGGTTGTGAGAGTGGTCAGAGGCGGCTCTAGGTAATTTTCAATGGTAAGCAAACAGTATTTTGGTCCCCCCCCCCCCAACCAATCTGTGTGCCATATTTGGTTCAATTCCATCATTGGTGGAGTTCAGAATGCTCTTTGATTGTAGGTGAACTATACATCCCAGTAACTACAACTCGCATATGTCAAGGTCTATTTTCCCCCAAGAGCACCTCAAGAGCGCCCCTGGGCAAAATCAACTATACTGCAAATGCTTACTTTGCGTAATGGTTGAGCCGCCCCTGAGAGTGGTCCAGCATTTCTGTGTTCTCAAGTGAGAGGATCCCTGTTGTCCTTTGCTGAACGTAGCATTTGTTGGATTTCCTGCAGGATTTCCTGCACTTCTGCAGGAGTCTACCATGTACCATGCAGCTGTGGACAAGTCTACATAGGGACCACCAAACGCAGCGTTGCCCAAACACGGATCAAGGAACATGAAAGGCATTGCAGACTACTTCAACCAGAGAAGTCAGCCATAGCAGAGCACATGATGAACCAACCTGGACACAGCATATTATTTGAGAACACAGAAATGCTGGGCCACTCTCACAACTACCATGTCAGACTACACAGAGAAGCCATTGAAATACACAGGCATGTGGACAATGTCAACAGAAAGGAGGAAACCATGAAAATGAACAAAATCTGGCTACCAGTATTAAAAAAAACTCTAAAATTACAACAGCACAACAACAGAGAGGAAACAAACAAGAACACCTAATCACCTCTCAACAAAAGTTTGCTCTAGGCACTGTCAGGCCATTATATGCTAATCAAGGTGGTCACTTGAAACATTCACACCTAGCTCCAGCAGACAAGAGCCCTTTGTCTTACCCTGGTCATTCCACAGATATAGAAACCCCTTTTCCTAGTTCCAACAGACCTCACTACCTCTGAGGATGCTTGCCACAGATGCAGGCAAAACGTCAGGAGAGAATGCTTCTAGACCATGGCCATATAGCCCGAAAAAAACCCACAACAACCCAGTGATTCTGGCCATGAAAGCCTTCGACAATACATATATTTCAATCTGTTTAGAACAGGGATGAGGAACATACGGCCCTCCGGATATGGTTGGACTGCAACTCCTATTATCCAGCACATTGCCCAAGCTGGACAAACAACCTTTGATTCCAGAAAATAAAATGGAACCTCCACATTAAAAAAAAAGGAAAAAGCAGTTCCTATTTAAAAAAAAGAATTGCTTTATACAATGGTCTGATGCCACACCGTAGCTGGTGTGCTCTCTATTTGTTTGAATTCAACTCATCACATTCAGCCATGACCATTGACCTAAATCTAAGCATCTAATAGAAACCATTGCCTACCTATCAAAATAATAGTTTAACTCTAATATAACTGAATATCTCTTAAGATGTTAATCATCAGAAGATGAATCTATGCAGAATAAACTTATAAAAGGGGTTTATTGATTTATAGCACAGACTGCTAAGCTGCTGAACTTGCTGACCTAAAAGTCACCAGTATGAATCCAGGGAGCGGCATGAGCTCCCACTGTTAGCCCCAGCTTCTTCCAACCTAGCAGTTCAAAAACATGCAAATTTCATAGATATGTCCAGTGTCCCTCCTTGCCAACCTTCTAATTACCAACGTGTTTTCTTTGTTACTATACTTGATTGTGAAGGCAGCTTTATAAACTTTAAAGCTTTCACTACCAATTTTATTTAAAAGATTATGATCATATGGTAATGGAGTTTATAATGGTGCATAGTAAAGGTAAGGGTTTCCCTGTGCCGTCGCACCTGGGGGCTATAACTCTTAGTGAAAGAGGCATGGACGTGACATCTTTCCCCCAGGGGATTGCTTCTCGCCCTCCTTTAGGAAAACTGGAACTCCCAAAGACCAACACACTGTAGATAACTCAAAATAGATTTAATTGTTCACATAAAGTCTTCCTCTGGTGCCAAAAGAACTGGTTTGAAGGCGCTTGAGACTTCCCAACGTCGTTCAGGTTGATCTGAACATGAAGCATAAGTCTCAAGGGTAAGAACCTCAGAATTGAGGCTGAGAGGTAATTTAATCATGGACTTTTAGAGCCAAGTTTCTTACTCACATCCATCTGGTAGAAAATCTGATGGTGGAATGAAAAGGGAAGCACTCCCCTTCTCCAGGAAGAGGTGGAGCTAAACAATTGAGCTGAGAAAGCAATTCAACTGGTGCAAACAACATTGATTGACAGCTATAAATAACCAATCAATCCAACTATATATAGGCAGAGCAAAAAGGCAGGATTAAGCATGATACAACAGTTTAAATCTTGCAACTAACAGTTCTACATATAGGTGGTGCCACTCGCGCCATCACATTCCCCTTGACTTTAAGTCTAGTTGTGTCCGACTATGGGAGGTGGTGCTCATCTCCATTTCTGAGCTGAAGAGCTGGCGTTGTCCATAGACATCTCCTAGGTCATGTGGCTAGCATGACTGCATGGAGTGCCATTACCTTCCCACCGGAACGGTACCTATTGATCTCCTCACATTTGCATGTTTTCGAACTGCTAGGTTGGCAGAAGCTGGGGCTAACAGCGGAAGCTCACGCTGTTTCCCGGATTCAAACCTGCGACTTTTCAGTCAACAAGCTCAGCAGCTCAGTGCTTTAACCCACTGCGCCACCGGAGGCTTATATATGTATTAGTAACTAATTTAGTATCTGTAGGATTAGTATCTGATTATAAGAGCAAGTCCTAGGGAGAGAATTGGAGAAGATGGAAAGATGAAGTGTTAGAAATGGAAGACATGTATTTGCAGAATTTTAATGCAATAGATGAGTAACAAAGACACTACTTAGAGAAAGAAATCAGACCATAACCAAGATGGGCACACAAACTAATTCAAACAAAGAGAGGTGTGAAGCGGATGTGACTGGAAGAAGAGGGAGAAGGTTCATACCTCTCAACTTTCTGAAACAGAAATCAGGGACAAAGCTAAAAAACACAAGGACAGAAGATGGAGATAAGGGATTTTGTGTAATAATAAGTGAAAGAAACATTCAGAAATGCATCCGATGTGAGTACTGTTTAGTAGCCATGGCTAAAGACATGATGCAGATAAATATATATTGGGGGTTAAGTTTCATTGAAAAGATGGCATGCCAGTCCTTTTAAGCACTGAGGTTTTTTTTTTTTTTAATGCTTGGTCCTAAAATAATCAGTTTAGTGCCACCAATATGACCTTAAGTGCAGTCATGGATTTCAATCTAAGCACACATTTCTATCTAATTTCACTTTCTTTCTGAGTATATACCCATTAAGTGTGGTTGGCTCTACTGGTCACATAGTAATTCCTTTTACCAACGTATGAGTACAAATTTTGCTTTCCACCCACCTTAAAAAAATAAATAAATTTAGGATCAGGCATGCCATTTTTTCAGTAAAAAATATTTCTTCCTTGTTTTTCTCTTTGATAATTTGTGCTTTGTGTTTTGTAAGAAACAATTACATCTAAGAATGTGAAAGAGAATGTTAAGAAACACTAAACTAGTGCAATCTGTAAAACTCAGAGGGACAGTTGAGAGGTATGGGTAAGGGTAGCTGGATAGGTACAACTCCATTCCTTGCAGAATACCTGAACTCCTTGCTTTCCTGGTAGACCTGGCATGCCCCTCTCCCCCTGGAGAGGAAAACAAAATAAAGAAGGTGAAGAAGAAAGAATGGGGGCAAAAGACAGTAGATCCCCTATACAAACTGGGTTGGTGACCACTAAATCAACGGAAAGTTATGTTCCGTAAGATCTCAGATTAATTGGTAGCTGAAAATTTGGGCAATTTATGTACACTTATGGCACTAATCAACTAGAGGTTCCCAGAAGACACAGCTCTGTTTCACCATTGCCTCACTACCAGCTACTTTCAGTGGGACAATGAGTTCTATGAACAAAAAGATGGAGTAGCTATGGGGAGCCCTCTCAGCCCGGTCATAGCTAATTTCTACATGGAACACTTTGAAAAACAAGCCCTGGAAACAGCAACCAAAAAGCCCACGATATGGTTCAGATATGTGGATGACACTTTCACCATTTGGAGCCATGGAGAAGAAGAACTCAACAGGTTCCTGGACCATCTTAACAGCATCCACCCAAACATCCAGTTCACCATGGAAAAAGAAAATGAAAGGAAGACTACCTTTTCTAGATGTCCTAGTCATCCGCAAACCAGATCAACAATTGGGTCACACCTTTACAGAAAACCCACACACACAGATAGATATCTACATAAAAACTCCAACCATCACCCAAGTCAAAAAAGAAGCACCATTAAAGCCTTGGCAGACCGTGCAAAAAGAATCTACGAACCCCACCTCCTTCAAGATCAGTGGTTCTCAACCTTCCTAATGCCGTGACCCCTTAATATAGTCCCTCATTTTGTGGTGACCCCCAACCATAACATTGTTTTTGTTGCTACTTCATAACAGTCATTTTACTACCGTTATAAATCATAATGTAAATATCTGATATGCAGGATGTATTTTCATTCATTGTACTAAACTGGGCACAAATACCCAATGCAACCACATGTAAATGCTAGTGGGGTTGGGGGAGGATTGATTTTGTAATTTGGGAGTTGTAGTTGCTGGGATTTATAGTTCACCTATAATCAAAGAGCATTCTGAACTCCACCAGCGATGGATTTGAACCTAATTTGCCACACAGAACTCCCATGACCAACGGAAAACACTGGAAGGGTTTGGTGGGTATTGACCTTGAGTTTGGGAGTTGTAGTTCACCTATATCCAGAGAGCACTGTGGACTCACGCAATGGTAGATCTGGACCAAACTTGGCACAAATACTCAATATGCGCAAATGTGAACACTGGTGGAGCCTGGGAAAATAGACCTTGACTTTTGGGAGTTGTAGTTGCTAGGATTTATAGTTCATTACAATCAAAGAACATTCTGAACTCCACCAACGACAGAATTGGCTCAAACTTCCCACATGGAATCCCCATGACCATCAGAAAATACTGTGTTTTCTGATGGTCTTTGGTGACCCCTCTGACACCCCTTAGCAACCCCCTCAGGGGTTCCGACTCCCAGGTTGAGAAACACTGTTCAAGATGAACTGAACCACCTCAACTGGGCTCTACAGGCCAATGGATACTCCACCTCAGACATCAGAAGAGCTGCAAGAACAAGAACAAGCCACGAGAGTAAAGATGAAGATCCACCCAGAGGAAAAGTGTTCCTGCCATACATCAAGGGAACCACTGACCGCATAGGGAAGCTGATGAGGAAACACAACACACAAACTACAAACCCACCAAGAAAATCCAACAAATGCTACGTTCAACAAAGGACAAGAGGGATCCTCTCACTTCTGCAGGAGTCTACCATGTACCATGCAGCTGTGAGGAACACCGTTGTCTTAGAATAAATCCACACTCACAAGAGTAAAATCCTGGACAGGTAGTTTATTCAATGTTCACAGTGTAAGAACAAAGAGAGTACTGAGGGTTTCCCGCCAGTCCAGCCCCCCTCCTTCTCATTCCTGTGTTATCTGCGTTTAGACTACAGCTTCCTTCCCACATCCCTGAAGAGGCCTTGAGCGGCCTTGACCAGATGGCCCTACCATAAACTAATCTATCACTACTATCTCTCCAGTGTCAGGAGAAGACTTCGCCTGGTACCGCGGAACCATGAAGGCAATCCTGACATATCTCCCCCCCTCGGAAGGAGGACCCCATCTGGAAAAAAAAGAGACAAAACATGAGACAACAACAAAGTCAGGGACCAGGCTTCATGGGGAAAGCAGAATGGAACTTTTTGACAAGGCGGGGGGCCCTGACATGTTCATGTAACACCCACTCTGGGTGGATGGCCTTTGAGGTCCACTGGACCAAATAGTAAAGTCTGCCCCGTGTCCGTTTAGAGTCCAAAATGTCTTTGATTTCAAAATGAGTGTGGGCTCCCACCATGATGGGAAGGGGTTGAGGAGCAGCCTCCGACCATTTGGGAGAGGCAGGCGCAGCCTTAAGTAAGCTGACATGAAACACTGGGTGGACCTTCCTCCAAGTGTGGGGCAGCTCCAGCCGCACCGCGACCGGGTTGACAATGGCCTGGACCGGGAAGGGGCCAATATATAAAGCGGACAATTTTCGCGATGGCTGTGTGGACCGCAAGTATTTGGTGGACAGGTAGACCAGGTCGCCCACCTGGAATTGGGGTTGGGGGGCCCTTTTCCTGTCGGCAAACTTTTTGTAGTCCTTTTTGGCCATGTCCAAGGAGTGCTTAACCATCGGCCACGCCGCCGCGATGGTCTCTCCCCACTTGTCGGGGGACACATCCCCCCGCGCAGGTGGTTCCAGGCCCGGGAACGGGGGAAAGTCCCTACCCCCCACAACTCGAAAAGGCGACACTCCCGTGGAAGCATGCTCGCTGTTGTTGTAACTATATTCGGCAAAATCAAGCAGGGAGGCCCAGTTATCCTGCTGATAAGTGGAGAAGCATCTCAGGAACTGTTGTAAAGTCTTTTGGACCCTCTCTGTGGCGCCATCGGTTTCCGGGTGGAACGCAGTGCTGAGCGCCCGTTCGGTCCCCAGCATGGACAAGAAAGATTTCCAAAATTTGGAGGTAAATTGTGTGCCCCTGTCACTTATAATCCTGGCAGGACAACCATGAAGCCGGAACACATGGTGGAGGAAGAGCTTGGCCAACTCCGGGGCCGAGGGGAGCCGCTTTAAGGGCACAAAGTGGGCTTGTTTGGAAAACAGGTCAATCACAGTCCAAATAGTGTTGTAACCCTGGCTATCAGGCAGCTCCACTATAAAGTCCATGGCAATTTCTTCCCAGGGTTGAGAGGGGTTGGCCACTGGTTGTAACAGACCCGTGGGTTTTCCCACCTTTTGCTTGTTTTTTGCGCAGGTTGGGCACTCTTGGGTGTATTCTTTTACGTCCCTGCGCATGGCCGGCCACCAGAACTGGCGGGCCAACAGCTTGAGAGTCTTGGTGAACCCGAAATGGCCCGCCAACAATGAGTCGTGGCCCCTCCCCATGATTTCTTTGCGCATTGAGGCTGGGACATAGTATTTGGCCCCAAGAACCCAAAGTCCGTCTCTCTGGGCTAACTCCCCCTTGTGTTCTTTGAGCCACTCGTCTTTTTCGGCCGCCTCCTGTAAGCCCTGGACTATATCGTCAGGCTGGCTAGGGGGCGCGGGCCTATCTTTGTGGCTGGCCCGGGTCTGTACTATTAGACCCATCTGTTGTGTGGTAAAGATGGTCCCAGACTCTGTGGGGGCAGAGTAGTCGGCTTCAGGCATGCGCGAGAGCGCGTCAGCAACCTGGTTCGCCTTTCCTGGCACAAACTTGAGGCGGAAGTTGAAGCGTTGGAAAAACTGGACCCATCTGAGGTGTTTAGCGTTAAGTCTCTGAGGGGTCTGGAGGGCCTGCAAGTTTTTGTGGTCTGTCCACACTTCAAAGGGGATTTGGGTGCCCTCAAGGAAGTGTCGCCAGTGGGCTAGGGCCGCTCGTACCGCGAAGGACTCCTTTTCCCAGACGTGCCAACGCTTTTCGGTGTCGGAGAACTTTTTTGACAGGTATGCACAGGGCTTGAGTTGGCCCGCCTCGTCAGCCTGTAGTAGTACTGCCCCATAGGCTGCCTCCGAGGCATCGCACTGTATTATGAACGGCTTTGAGGGCTGAACGTGTGTCAAGATGGGCTGGCTTGTGAACCTCGTTTTCAGTATCTCAAACGCCCGCTGGCAATCGGGGGTCCAGGCTAGTTTTGCCCCTGGGGTCTTTGCCTTTTTAGTCTCCCCCTTTCCTTTAGTTTTCAGCAGTTCCGTGAGTGGCAGCGCCACCTCGGCAAAGTCTTTAATGAACTGCCGGTAAAAATTGGCAAAGCCCAGGAATCCCTGTAGTTGTTTTCTAGTGCGGGGGGGCTCCCAGGCCAGCACGTCTTGTACCTTGGCCGGGTCCATGGCCAGCCCTTCTGTTGATATGCGGAAGCCCAGATAGGTGAGCTCGGTGCGGTGGAACTCGCACTTTGAGAGCTTGACATAAAGGTGATTGTCCCTCAGGATCTGGAGCACCTTTTGAGTGGTTTTTATATGTTGGTCTAACGAGTCTGAGTATATTAACAGGTCATCAAGGTAGATAATCAAGCCGTCGTACAGCATCTCCCTAAAGATGTCATTGATGAACTGTTGGAACACCTTGGGGGCGCCCTTGAGCCCAAATGGCGTCACGGCCCATTGAAACTGACCGAAACAACAATTAAAAGCCGTTTTCCAACAGTCCTCTTCTCTCACCCTCAGGCGGTAGAACGCCTCCCTGATGTCTAATTTTGTGAAGATTTTTGCCTTGCCCAGTTGGGCCAAAATGTCAGACATGAGGGGGAGGGGGTATTGATTGGTGGTGCATATGGCATTCAGCCCCCTATAGTCCACACATAGCCTCAGCGACCCGTCCGCCTTGGGCCGGAAGAGCACGGGGGCGGCTACCGGCGAGGTAGAGGGCACTATGAATCCCCTTTCCAGGTTTTTGTCTAGGAATTCTCTTAAGGCCTTTCTCTCTGGTTCAGACATGGCGTATAGCTTGGGGCTAGGCAGCTTGACATCGGGTTCGAACTCGATGGCACAGTCTGTTTTTCTATGAGGGGGCAGCTGGTCGCACTCTGT